TTAAGCCCAGGCACCAAGTGGAAAGTTTGCAGTGCCTATGAACAGATGTCTAATGACAAGCAAATATTAATTCTTAAGCAATAACTTATTTCTGGCTTAGTTTTTTGGTGCCTTTTATTCCTTTTCATGTTAGTCATTTCTACATGCTTCTGGTGTTGCATGCTGGCCTGAGTGTTACTGACAGAAATATAGTGGGCCTGGAACTTGATACAAAGAAAGAGACAGGGCAAGTTTTTAGATTTAAGGATAATGTAGCCACAGGTGTCCAATATTTGTCTTCAGAAATTTCAGATGCCACTAACTGTGCTAAATTTTCATTCTGAAGGCTGAAGTCTGGAAAACTTGTGTTCCTCAGAGTAAAAAGTTTCAGATACTATTATTTTGTTCAACAAGGTTAAGGGAAAAGGTTGCTGGGTTTGGCATATTAAAAACATTCTTGCAGTTGTTTCTCTGGGGAGCTGTGGTACCTTCCTGTGTAGCAGCAAGGGCTCAATATTCAGTACATTTTAACAGCAGGAGGGGGCTTGGCTGCCTTGTAAATATTCATTCAAAATAGCTCTAACAGTACAGGCTTCTGAGAAATACCCACTCATAAACACAGAAGATGCTGCCCAGGTGCAGTGGGGCTGCTGAGGCACCCGGCCTGAGAGCAGAGGCAGATGTCCTTTTCAGTGACTCAAACTAGAGCACTCTAAGCAGGTATTGGCCCATCTGCTCCCATATCTCAGATGTCGTGGCTGATTATCTGAACACTCAAGCTCTGTTATAGTGAAAATTCAGGGAAGTGGTGCCATTCACTGACAATGACATCTTAACAGCCCCCAGCTGCTCATTCCCAGCCTATGCCCTCCTTTAGCTCTTGTCAAATTGTTTATGAAGACAAGAACCTGGCTCCTGCCCTGCCATACTCCCAAAAAAGATCAGATTATTTTTAGCCTGAACTGACTCTCACTCCTGTTCATTGCAGGAATGACTGTGGTTACAGGACAGCTGTTTGTGCCCTGCCATCAGGGAGATGGTCTTTTCCAGGCCCTGCATTTTCCTCTTGCTTTTTAAGTGCAGATGTCATAAGGAGACCCAAGTGTGTTTGTGCACGTTCTGCAGGCAGGAGAGCAAGGGGAGCAGCTGAGGGCTGGCATCCTGCCCTTGCTAAGGGCAGGCAGCTGCAGCTGGTAATCCCCTGGACTGCCACTGCAGGGCTTGATAAAGCAGCTCTGGCAGAGCACGTCCGGCTCTTTGCTTGCTTTCCTACCACTCTAAAAGGTAACCAAGCCTTAATAAAGCTTAAGTGTAAAGTCAAAGTCTCTGCTGGTGCCATGAGCACTTCATTATGCCCAAGAAATGTAGTAACATTTCTGTTTTGCACCACCAGCACAATTCTTTATTGAGCAGGAGGAAAATTTTCTCAAAGTGGTTGGGCAAAATCCCCGGAACTGGAACCAGAAAACACAAGACTATGGGAATAGGTAATCAATCGGCTTTCTAATCATAATCCAAAATCTCCCACTGTCACAAGTCACAAGTCACTTAGAAACACACGTCCGTGTTTGTAGCCAGAAAGTAGCTGAACTTGAAATAAATCGATTTTTTGAAAGCAGTGTAAAGGTGTTTCACAGTCTTTGTGCACTGTGAGGAATTTCTATGTGAAAACAAGTTTGTAGTGCTGGTGCTGCTTTCCACATGTAGTCCTGGATTCAGGAGGTCTGTGACCTTTTTACAAGAGATCTGTGCAAATTTAACCTATGAAGAGTCAGGGAGCTTTGATTTCCTGCCTAAAACTGTGCCCTTTCACTAGGAAGAAAAAGCAAATGAGGAGTCTGCTGACAGCTATGACTGAAAGATTTGGTGATTTATTTGCGGTATAAATGACTGCATGCTAATTTCCCAGGCAGGCTAGCATGTGTGTCCATAATGGGTTTACTAGTCTCCTGGGTTCTCAAGGTGGTTTCTCTGTGACCTGAATTCTTGTTATGCAAACAAAATTCTCAGTGAATTTAGGTAGTGCAAGGTACAAACCTTGTGAGCAGGAGAGCAATCTGTGGATTAGGTGAATAGATGGGGTTTGAATGGGCATAAAAATTAAAAAAAAAAAGAAAAGAAAAATAAAGATGCAAAAAACAAACAAGTAAACATCCCAGGAAACCAAGTTCCAATTCTTTCTCCCGACTAATTAAATTTTACGACCTCCCTTTTTAAACAGCATATGGGACACAGATTTCCTAGTCAGCTGGGGATCAGTTAGATACATGTCTGTGTGTTAGTCAAGTTCCAGCTGATTAAGCCTTCGCTTATACCCAAAGTTTCCTGTGATATTTGTACAGACTATCATAGACAGCAGAGCTAGCTTGGAGCTTTTATGACAAAATGAGTTTCATCCAAAAAGACCTCTATTTGTCTTAGACAAAACTTTGTCAGAAATAGGTCATATCAGATTTCAAGGCCATGAAAAACTAGTTTTTTTAAAAGAAGATTTTTGACACATCAAATTAAAGATTTTGGTTTTCTGTAAAATGGCTTTTAGTTATAAGACATAAGTGCAGTTGAAATGCTTTAAAGATCACCTAAATGAAATATTTATATCGACATTTTTAACATTATTATTTTTCTCAGTTAATAAAATTTGTCAAGTGTTTGATTATTTTGCCACAATTTAAGAAAGACAGCTTTCCACAAGATTGGAAAGAGTCTAAATCCAGTCCTAGTTTAGCCCATTCATACCATTGTATGGTAGAGATCAGAAAGCAAAACTCCGTGGAGGAGAATGAAGGAGAACACGTAAGTGCTCTCAGAAAGAAAAGGAATGAGGTATTCTTGTTCTACTTCCCCTTCTCATCTGCTCCTTAGCCTTTAATCATTCATTAGCATCTTTAGTTCTGGTACAATTCTTATCAGGTATCTCTTCCTACAAGTGAAGCATAATAGTAATGAATAATGGGGATACATTATTTTAGCAACTGTTCCTGATTCTGTTTAATGACTGAATACAAAATGGCTTCTCTTCCTTCTAACGTGGCCATTTAATTTAGATGTACTATAGATAACTGCTTACAGAAGTCATTCCTTAAAGCAACAGGAAACTTTTGCATGCTTACATATCTAATACAATAATTAAATACCTATTGTATTTTTCTCAAGGTTATATAGAAAACAAACTAGTATGTTAACTACGGATCATTAGGGAATTGCATTACAGCAGAAAAATTCTCTCTCTGTGTATGTCCTGAAAAAAAATTTACTGGTTAACTTCAGGTTATAATGTTTACTAAATGACTGCAGTCCTGCTTCAGTGGTTGAACATGCAAAAAAAATTTATTGCATTTTTGTTCAAAGCAAAGTGTTTTCTATGAATTATGTATTATTTAAATTACTTGATGCAGTTACTTGACTAGAGGTTAGAGTGAAAGAAACTTTAGATGGGACAACTAGGGGTGAGCTATGTAAGTCTCAGAGATTTCACTGTGAAGTATTGTAGGAGAAGCATGTACCATTAGGGATATTTTCTTGGGCAAAAGGGAACAGAATGTTTCAGCCGAGTCTTCTAATGAAAACAATACATGAAAATGAAAGCTGAAGGTCCCACAGCATCCTGGCCTCACTTCAGTGTATTAAGTAAATCCTAGAAAACCCCCTGTGAGCAAAGGGCTGCAGGAAAGGGGGACTGCAGACTCTGTACCATTGATTCTCTTTTCTCTTTCCCTTTTGGTAGTGGTCAGTGCAGGGGAAGCTCAGTAAATGGTCAATTGACCGTCTTGTGTGCAATGAGCTCACTGAAAACCGCTTTGTGAGGCTGGATTTCCAACTTTGGTGTGTCAGCCAACATGGAGTGTTCTGAGCTGGTTCTCAGCTTCTGTGACTTGTTACAGATCTGCAGAAGTACTGCAGTAGTTCATACTATGTGAGGATTTCTTTTACAGAACAAATATGAAAGAACTTTTATATTTAATCATTTTCCAGCTCAGTCTGGAAAAGATCCATCTAGCCATCACTTCTGGCTCCAAAAGTGATGAAAAATGGTCAAAAACAGAGGGTGATTACTAAAGATCATTAGAAAATAACAATCATGTGGTGATGGCCACCTGCCTTATATTCTGAACTTCTAGCAATCTGACTTCCAAAGTCAGAGGTAGAACCTTTATATTTAACAAGTACTGATGGATGAGTTTGTCCAGGAAATGCTTAACTCACGTTAGGCTCTGTAAACCACAGCCTTTCGTGCAAGGACGCTCCAAGTTGACATCGCATTGTATGAAGAAATACTTTTGGTTTCCTTTGTTTTCAAATAGATAATGATTTGATGCATCCTTGTTCACTGCCTTCCATGCCACAAAAAACTTCCATTTCCTATTAGACCTTTCTTTGTTACTCATTATTTCAGAGACTTCACTTCTTTGTCATCTCTTTTCCATGCACACAAACCCTAGTTTTTGTTATCCTTTGAAATTGTTACAACTTAGTTTTCTATTTCTTCTATTTTATCTTTCTTAGAAACAAACTGATGTATAATTTTCAGTGATCTCTCAAATGTAGGCTGTGTACAGGGCTTACAACAAGGCAATACTCCTTGAGTTTAGAGCAAACAGGAATGCAAAGAATTCCTCCAGCTGACTGGCAGGACCTTCTCTTTCTGCTCCTTTGTGTCTTAGCAATCTACTGCAGCATTCTTTGGCAGGTGTCTTGCTTGCTACAGGACGGTATTAACTAAAAGTTTTTGATGCCTGTCAATGTCTTTTTGGGCATATGATCACTTTATGGTTTATGTCTCATTTTCACCTTAAAGTTTGTGAGGGACGTAATCTTTGGTAATAAACTACTTCTGTCACCACAGCGGCTTTTCCTGTGCTTACTCCAAGACCTCAAGCTGCTGGGAGGTATCTTCCTCTTGGGCTTGTCACTTTGGATACATCTTTTACAAACTTTCACTTTCTTTTTCTTGACCTCAAGCGCTACCATAGTAGATTTTGGGGGGGGGGGGGGGGGGGGGGGGGTTTATTGTTCATGCATGCATAGTAAGTCTAATTTCATTACAGTTATTGTTAACATGGTTCTTTGATACAGAAGGATTCAAATGACAGGTCAGATGGCTTTCATGGTCTGCTTCATGTACTGTGTCTGTGGATTCTTTTTTCCCCAATTACTTTTCCTTTCATTTAAAATTATATGACCATCTACTTTTTCAAAGTTGTGAACGAAGTTTAAAAATGGAAGATGTTTCTTTATCTCTCAGCACACTACCTTTATTTACTGCCTTAATTGTATTATTTACAATACCTGTATTTGTAATGCAAGGGGAAGGTGTTGAAGTTCTTCCACATACGGAGCAGCTGGCAAGTGTCAGTAACTCAACCTGTGGGGCTGAGCTTGGCACATTTCCTGGCGATGTCCTGGTGGCTGCCCTGGCTTTGTACTGCGCAGGACGATGCTGCCTGGGGTGCTCAGCCTCCCATGGCAGGGTTTGGAGCAGGAGAGTAGGAACACTGCCCTTCCAGAGAGGCCAGGGTTTACAGTTTCCCTCTGATCAAGGTCTCTGGGCCAAGTTCCACCCATCACACCTTTGTGGAGCTGCAGTACACATTAATAATAACATAGAGATATATGGGGAGCGGGCAGGCTGGTGCATGAGGCATGCTAACTGCAAAAAGCCAAACTCGGGGAAGTAATCTTAGATACTGCTACCAAAAAGTATTTGTCATTTTAAAATATGTTTCCCTGGTGCTTTTGCATTTGATTAATGGATTTACCTTACCTGACATGTACCCTGAAAGGCTCTGGCAGTTCAGCAAGCAAGAAAACATCAAATAAGTACTTGTAGCTCTATCTGCAGTGTTGAAAGCTAACCTGAAGGAGAGGAAAAAGTATTGAATGATTTTATGCTTCTGGAGGAAATTAAAACTTGAAAAAAATACTTTTTTTCCCCCCCAAAATCACATACTGGGGATGGCAGAGGAAATGTACTTAAATGAAAACTTTCATCCCAGGTATAATTGCACTATCATTAGTGTGGTTATTGGGCTGGGCCCTGCTAACAAAATGCGGTATCTATTTTGCTATTAATTTTTACATCAAGGTGTTACAAAAGCAGTAACCAGGTGACCAGGACACAGGAACTATTCTCATTTTCTTTGGAATGTGCCCTCCAAATAGAAGTAGAAGACTATAAAGGAGCCAGTAAGATTCAGGGAAGGCTCAGTTCTGTTTCAGATTGTGCAAGGTTGCACTGTCACAGGCACCATTAATCTGAGAGCGTTTAAGATAGTCGTATAATTAGAGACATGCACAAATGAATTAAATTCTTGTTTTAAGAGACTATCTTGTGTTCCCTCATGCTTCATTTTAGTGAAAGAGGCTTTGTGTCTAGACAGGCAAAGACTTGAGACCTACTTTTATACGAATCATTTTGCTTGCGCTCATTGAGGACTTTAAGACATCTTTGAAACCTTCAAGGGATCCAATCAAAGTTTTCCAGAATCATACATTTTTTCCTCTCTCCTTATAAGTCTTTAGTGCTGAGCTGTCCTGAAACATGTGCAGAAATAATCCTTTGCCAAGGTGTGGGATCCAATATGCCTGTAACCACCCTGGCTTCAGGTTACCTGTAAACTGAGAAAGACATTCTTAAATGTTCTTAAACGTGATGAGAACACCCTTTATGTTCCAAAAGAAATTAAAACTTGCAGTCAAAAATGGATCTGGAGAGAGAGCTTTCCCTATGCACATGTTGATTCAGATATTGTCAATGTGGGAAGTTTATCTGTCTAGGCCTAGAGCTTTAGGTGACCACTTTGTGTCTCTTAGAAATACCAGTGTTTCTATCTGGCCGTCCCTCCTCATTTGCTGGGGACTGGATCTTAGTCACCAAGGTGATCCTTGTTTAGTCTGCTTCAAGATATGAGGACCAAAGGCATGTGAGTGGGAGCCCAGACTTTTGAGGTGTTTTGCGCCTTTAGCTCCTGATGTCATTGGACCAAAATGCACCTTTGAATCTCCCTCAGTGTCTTCTTCAGGCCTTTGAAAGTAATTCTCCAGCAGCACAGTCCACAGCACCTGCAAAAGTCCATAGGCAGTGGATGATTTAAGCTGTATGTGGCAATCTGAAGCAGCTTTATTGCAACATTACGGTGATACCATCCAAACTGAGGTCTTTTTATTAAGGGCAGCATTGTTCGCCAGACCGATGTTAACATGCATGATTTAAATGATGGCACAAGCAGAACTTCGGCTCAAAATGGAGATATTAAAGATACCAAAATATTATCTTTCCTCTTGCCAACGAGAACAGCTGGCAGGATGGGTTTACTGAACAAAAACTTTGGCCAGCAGACAAAGGTTATCGTTTTCACAGGCTTTCCTTCTGAAGTACAGGATTAACAAAACATGCTGTATTTTTTATTTCAAAATTGGAGGGTTTGTGTCTTTCATCTGGTCAAATTTAGCTTAAAAGTGGAAATAATATCAAAGTTACATGCACCACAGGGAGACTGTTAATGTGGTAACAAAGGGCATTTGGCCAGTTAAAATAGTAAAAGACTATACAGCTTTCCCAGTGATGGCTGGAGCCCAGTTAGTACTTTCCAAGTTGAGCCACAATATTCTTTTCCAAATTATGCGGTTTGGCACGATTCAGAGTGAGTAAACTTACTTTCCTACAAGGGAAAAATATAATTAAGAGAAAAAACAAGGTCATGCAGTATTATGCTTCAAGTAAGCAATAATACATCGTGGGGTGTATGTTAGTCAATATTCATACACCCTGGACAGGCTGAGACAGAGACAAAGCAATGGCTCAGCATACAAAAAGATACATATGTTATCTTTATAAACCTATGTGCAAAAGTAAAATGCAAATGGATGTTTTATTTCCTTACTAGATGTTTTAAGGGAATATATGTTCAATGTTCATGTGTATAACACTCATAAATGTTACTTTAAAAATACCTTTTATGTTAACATTTTATACTTTTTAGTAATAAGTGAACCTGCTGGTTTTTTATTTTGTCAGGGTATCTGTTTTATTGGGTTTTTTTCCCTGCTAATAAAGCCAGAATGGTGTGAAAAATTCTTTTTTTATTATCATTGACTGATTAAGTTTATTAAAAGGACTTTCAACCTGGATGGTCACACTGGAAGCCTCTAAAAGTCTGTTCTTACTTTACAGTAATCCACCTTCTAGGATTCTGCAAATGACACAAAGCTTGCAATGACTCAACAAAGTCGAGGATAAAGTCTCAGGATTGGACAAAAAGAAAGACCAGATTCAAATTTGGAAGTGAACTTTCAAGGGTTTTGTGAGGGTAATTTTTGGTGGTTTCTAGGGCATTTATAGTGTTTTTTAAATGAACAAACTGTTTAGCTTAAGCTCAGACAGAGGGGAACATGCAAAAAGAAAGTTTGGTGACCCAGTGTATGTAATACTGTAGTACCAAAATGGGAACAGCCCCATGAGACATCTGCTTGATTTTTGCTGCTGACACTGCTCATGGGAAAGGCCTGTGATATGCCAGGAGGAAAATGAAAAAAGAAGAAAAACTTCAAAAAACATGGAACCACTCCCATCACCTGAAGCTTAGACCACACACCTAAAAGGGAGTAACCCACATCCAGCTCGGGTGCACAGCCTAAGCAGCCTTATCTCACTTTCAACTCAACCATTTTGCACATCTCATATATAAAGTGCTTGTAAGGGAGGAATTGACTATTTATTTCCTGGTTTGTTTTTTTTTTTTTATAATTACAGTAACCTGCAATTATTAAAGAAACTGGAAATAAATAATCAATTTATTTAAAGAAATTGGAAATAACCTGGTATTATAAACCTTCATCAGTTGCAGCATCTCACCATGTCTGCTATTTGGCTCCCAGTTGGTACAGTTTCTTTCACTTCCCACCTCCACTGGGGAATGCATGCTCTACTAAGAGCAAATAGCTTCCTAAACCAGCCCTGCCTGTTGCAGTTCTGTGTGCAAAGCAGCAGGAAATGTGTGGGCAGTGAGACTGGGAGCACATTTGTGACTCAAATATATAATTTCAGTAGTCACACAGGCTGTGCACAATACTCATACTGCCTTCTCTGAAAGCACAAGTCAACAAATACTTGCATACAACACTCCAGACATACACACAAAATATGCCCTGACATGCCTGATTTTAAGGTGTCACTTGAAAGACAGAAAAATCCTCATCATCTATAGAGTTTCTCTCAGCATTAAACTACTCTAAAGCAGGACCAAGGTGCCAAAGCCCTCATATAATGTAGACCTGTATCATTGCAGACTATATCATTTTAAGCTACTGCCATCCCAGGGGATGGGGAAGGGGAAGCTGGAATCAGTGCTGGAGCAGGGCACATGGCTCTGTGCTGCTGTCCCATCAGTCTGCATGGCACAGCAGCATCCCTGCTGATGCACGGCTCCTAATTCCCAGAGCAGATTTTTGTTCCATTTTTGTCTTGAGTTAACATGGTACTCCTTACAATGTGAAATTGAGACTTATCATATCCTTCTGGTTTACATCCACCTCAGCCCTCTTAAAATGGATTTATTTCACCAAAGATACCTTACCATCTCCATACTAAGTAATCTTCTTTCAGGAAACAACAGATCTATTTTGCCCTGAATCAGAACTCCAAGAAATCTAATAGCAAGAAAACTAACACAAGTAATAAAGAGAAAACAACAGAGGAAAAAAACAATCTCTGTTTTACACAGAAAATATTTTCTGGACGCTTCTCCATATAGGTGCCAAACAGTTTTAACTTACTGGTGAGGCCAGCTCCTCAGAGAAGCATAAATTTTCTCATCTTGGGAAATTATTATTGATTTTCATTTCAAAATAGCACTAGAAGGTACTGCACAAGAGGAGAAACTCTTATTTTGTATTAAGTGAGTGTTTCACATGTAATTAAATGCTGAAGGGTGATTCTCTGCTCTTTGCCTGCCCCCTGCCCCAGCTATCTCAAATCACTTAACAAGTATCTGTCTGTGTAGAATCTGTATTAATAACAAAATTATGCTGTGCAAAAGAACATCTTGTCAAACAAGTATATGCCATGTTTATCTGCAAAACATGCTGTACTTGGATGCAGAAATTGTGTTTTATTTTTCTTGTATGTTCTTGCAATGACCCCTATGGTCCTGTGTATCCTCCAGCAGTATATAAAGCAATGTGTCTGTTATGTGTCATATGTAGTTTTATTCTTTCTTAATTAGCCCAAACCCTCTATGAGATTAAAATCAGTGGGGTAATGTTACCCACTACTACGTTTTACTTTCTGTGATGCTTCACTTTGTCAGGCACTTTGTAAATACCTTTCCTTTATCAACACAAAAAGTGTATCATTGTCTAAAGAGGAAAGACTAATAAAAAATCTTTGTCCCAGTTTGAAAAATACTTTTATTAATTATAACTAGCAAAAAAAAGAAAGGGGTGTACTAAGGGAAAGAACAGTTTTGAAATTAATCTTGTCAAGTTAATATGATCACTCGGTTGCACCCTGATGCAGTGAAGGCCTGCAAGTTTCTGATATCAAATATTTCTAAAAATACAGTGAATTATGGGTAAAGAAAATAAACTCTTATGACAGAACTATCAATTAATTTACTTTTTGAAGACAATATTTGCATATCATAGAATCCTAGAATGGTTTTGTTTGGAAGAAACCTTAAAGATCATCTAGCTTCAAACCTTTTGCCAAGTGCAGAGAAACCTTTCACTGGACCAGTTTGTTCAAAGCCTCCTCCAGCCTAGACTTGAACACTTTTAGGGGAGGGGCATCCGCAGCTTCTCTGGGCAAACTGTTCCAGTGCCTCCACACCCTCGCAATCAAGAAGATTTTTCTAATACCTAATCTAAACCTACTCTCAGTTTGAAGACATTTCCCCTTGTCCTTTCACTACATGCCCTTGTGAAATGTTCCTCTTCACCTTTTGCGCAGGCTCCCTCCAGGTACTGGAAGGCCACAATTAAGTCACCCCAAAGCCTTCTCTTCTCCAGGCTGAACAATCCCAGTTCTCTCAGCCATTCCTCACTAGGGACATGCTCCATCCCTCTGATCATCATGATGGCTCTCATCTGGACTCACTCCAACGGGCTGATGTCCTTTCTGTGCCAGAAACCCCAGAGCTGTATCCCAGTGCACTCCAGGCATTCCCCTGCTTTGTACACCAGTGTTTATTGCACAACTATCAGCTCCACAGAAGATTATTTAATTTATCCTCCATTTATTTATTTAATAAATAAAACGTATTAAACATGACTTCTAATGTGTCAAAAAGTTAATGTGTTCGCTTTACCACTTCAACATCAAAGAAGGTATTATGTAGCAATAGTCAAGGAGGGCACACTAAGTAAAACTACCTTTTAATAACTTAATAAAATAATCCTGAGCAGATACAGATTCCCTTCTCATCAAATTTAAAACTGACAAAAATGATTTTTCAAGATTTCTCTAAAGCTGCATGCCCTAGTAGATAACTCTTTTAAATAAATTTTCTCATCCAGCACTCTTATGCATAATTAAAAAAAAAAAAGCTATCACAAGACTTTAAAATAATCTTTCTCTCTCTAAAAAATACTTCAAGAATCTAGTTTATCTTTCTATTGAAGAGCGAAGCTGCCAAGTGTTAGAATTTACTACCCTCCTGCTATCTGTAATTGCACAGCTAAAGGTATTTTATAGATTGATGGCTTCCACGTTAAAATGAGGAAATATCTGTTATTTTCTTAAGGATACAAAGTTTCTAAATTTCTAGTTATTTGAATGTGCAGTCCAAAATCATCAATGTGTTTGTGAAAGTGGCCTTGTCCATTAAAACTTAGGAGTTATATAGTCTTCATTCCAGAATGTGTGGCCCTTAAATGGAGCCTTTACAACCAGGCAGTATCAAAGCTTTTTTTACCCTGGAAGTAATTGATATAATGATCCTAATTATTTTGAAATGCGACATTTAAGCAGCTGTGAGTATACAAGGCTAAAAAAGAATGTCCTAATGTATTGTGTGCAGTGTATCACACTCAAACATTTATGTTCTATCATATTACACTGAGGCATTTGTGAAAAGTCCTTATTCCTTAATACGCTGTGCCTGGTGTTGTCAGTGTGCTGAGTGCCTCTCTTTGGTCTCACAACATTATTCCTTTTTATTTTTCTATTATCTTTGGCATCAGCTTATCCCAAACATGTGTTACCCTTGGAAAAAGCACATTAAAAATACACACTGCTAAACTCACTCTTGAAACACATGGTGTTGGCACTGGAGACATGCAGTCAAGGATTAATTAAAAACTATGCTGTAAACTAGGAGCATATCAGTTGTAAATAACACAGGAGATAGATCTACGTATGCATATTAGCTGACTGCAGGCTTGCTAAGTGGCCAGTGGGATACATGCATGAAAAAGCAGATGCCACCCAGTGCCATGAACCAGATAAACTATTTCATATTAGACAAAATTAAAAATCTATGCCATTGCTTAAAGCACCTGAGAGATCTCACACAGTTTTTTTTCATCACTTCTGTGGAAGGTGAAACAGGTGAAGAACTGGATTGATCACCAGAGTGAATTCCTTTTAAGAACAAGGCTCAAAAATTTTTGCTTGTTTAGTCTAGTAGAAACAAAAACTGATACAGGAAATAATTATTCTCTTAAACCACAATAGGGTGGTAAACAGTAGACAAGGAAAAAAACTATTTACCCTAGCAGACAATGCTGGCACAAGAACAAATAAGTGTAATTTGGCCATGAATAAATTTAAACTGGAAGCTAGAGAGATTCTGGCCATAAAAGTGGTGAAGTTCTAGAGTAGTCTTTCAATACAAGTTATGGGGACAAGGAAATAACAGGTCAAGCTATTAATGGTGAGGATTGTTGAGTTCATGGAAAATGCCACAAGCATACTTCCCTTGGTAAGCAAAAGACTGTATTTTGATCATCCAAGAGATTGTTTCCAGCATTGTTTGCCTATCTCCTGAAAGTGTGGGAAAAAAAAAGACATAAAATTGAAATTAAACTTGATTTATGCATACAGTGTTAAAAATAGTCCTTAAGCAAGTGCCATCCTCATGTAAAAGACCTCTGTAATTATATTTGTGCTTTGCAACAGGAAAATAATTTAACTTGATAAATAGGTATTGAACTGTACTTAATGGTTGGAAGTTAATTCTTTTTAATGTGAAGCTGCAATTTGTCACATTCTAATTTTCCTGAGTTTTATAGTGTATATTTCTACTACTTTTACTTTGCCTTGTTTTCTTTAAAGGTGGAGACAACAGTATTATCACTGTGTGGACAACAAAGTGACACAGATGGAAAATAACATCTGCCTATTTATTTATACCAGTTGAGCCACATTTGGCCCCTGAGTTCCTCAGATGAGCATTTGCTGTTAGTCTAAATCAGTTCTAAGGAAAAAAGCCCCTGATGGTCACTATGGAAAGATGCAATCTGAATATCAGAAATAAAAAAGCAAGCAAAAGACAAACATATTTGAGTTAGAAGAATGACTTAAAGTTCAGAAAGGATGTCCAAAGAAAACAAGGAATATGTTATGAAGTTAATTTCCACTAACACAGAGAGAATTTGCTGATATTGCAGTCAGGGGTTTAGTCTAGAGATCCAACATGAAAGCACTTCTTAAGGTTTGCTTGTGCAGCTTCTGATGCCTGTTCTAGTTTCACTATTAATAGCTAATAAGTATGTTTCACCCAGCACTGTAGTGGCTCCTGAAATTCAGATCTGTGGTATGCTACCATGCTATCTGAAGACCTACAGTTATTTAAAAACTAATCTGTGTTCTCTCATCAGCAAAGCCAAGCAGCAGAAAGAAAAGCGAAACACTGCAAAGGCAAAATAGTGGTATTTCCCTATCAGTGTGAAAATATAAATAAGTGACAGAAACCTACTGAAAATAAAGTTAAATAACTGCATATGCATAAAGTTGTGTTAAAAGTTCCTATTTGCAAGTGCAAGTGTGCACATGTGTATGTAATTATAAATGTATTTTTTATATAAATTATTTATAATTTGTCTTCTCTGTAAGCTCACTTGCAAAAGATCTACTATGGAAAAAACTGTATTAGCAACTGCATAGCTGTTAGCTTATTGTGAAAATGTCAAAACATAACTCAATATTCAGTTCAATTTAATTCAATTTATGTTAGTATGAAAATGTTTCTTCTCTTCTGTTTTTTAACCTCTTCTTACCTGTATTTGAGCTACAGTGTTCAGTAGCTTTTGCCATTTACATCTAACTGAAGCTATGAGCCTGAAGGCTTACTAAACTTTTGGGAGGACACCATGCCTTGTCTGTTAAACAGAGGAATGTGTTTCTCTTCTGTGAAGTCTGATCTGCCCAACCCAATAGCATCCAGCCACCAGGTGGGACTTGGTAAACTTTTACTGTGGCTTGTAAATGAAGAGCTGCTGATTTAGCTTTTGAAAGTGAAACTGCAGTTTCCAAGGAGGAGAAACAAAGACAAGCAATCTTAAGTGCCAGGTTATTGTGTGTCTCTGAAGGCTGCAAACAATGGAAATGCAACTACAATATGGGGTGAAATTTAATACATTTGGTGTGATCAGTGGTCAGAAGAGGTCAGAGAGATGAAAACAAAGGTGTCTCTCCATTGAATTTTACACCTTTGCTGATGGTGAAGAGGTTGTGAGCAAAACCCAAACCATTGCTAAGAACTCAAAAGATGATTTGGCTCATACTAGGTAGCGCGTCCCACCAAAGTTGATTCTTAAAATGCAATGAAGAATATCAAATTTTTGTCCTGTCCCTTCTAACTTCTGACTCATGTCAATCCTGCACACCACGCCCCACTGTCAGAAGTCTCTGTTTATTGGTTGTATGTATGTATTTAACCTCAATGTATCATCTCCAGGTTTTACTTGAGACTCATGTCTCTGCTATGATGCAATGGGACAGACAAGGTCCAAAATTCTGCTTCAAGTAGCTTTCCAGCTCTGAAAGGATTCATGATTTAACTAGAAAACTGAGCCTCAAAGAATGAAATCAGTAGAAATGCTCTAGTGGTCATCAACATTGGAAATATTATGAAATAGAGTCAGTAATCAATGGTTTCTGATTTATCTTTGTTTTGGACTAGTTTGAATTTCTAACTCTGGCATTTGGATGTGCTGATTTTTGAAGTAAGTCTTCTCAATAGACTATGTTCTAATACAGAAGGAAAATTTAATATTTGGGAAGATATTAAACACAGTTTGAATACCCTTGGTGGTGTCTATTAATTATCAGAAATTTGAATAAACCAGTTTTGGAGTAAGGAAGAATATTAAATAAAAGTGATTTGCAAGTGGTAATAAATCTTAAAAGAGGTGGGGGGAAAGAGTAAATATACTTTTAATAAACTTGGTGACAGAGACTTCTAAAATAATTAGATACTTATCCTTCATCAATGAAAATTGCATTCCTAATTGTGCAAAAGCCATTTCATCCCTTCATATAATTTCACCTCACTCACTTGAAGAATTTTCTCATGCAGATATAGCAAGATTGAACAAACCTGGATTGTGAAGGAATTCAACTAAACTCACAGCCCTGATGCAGGTTAATGACCACGTTTTTCCAAACTGAAAACCCAGCCAAACTTTATAGTTATAATCATTAAAAACCAAATCCACATAATGGGAATATTCACAAATACTTTTGGTGTAAATTCCATATATGTCTAAACCACGAAGTTTCCCTACTTCTAATATACCAGGACAAATTAGTTTATTTTATAGATTTTCTTACTTCAAATTTGTCTCTTAAAATTCACTGGTCTGTCTGTGGGTAGGGAAAATCAGCAATTTACTGTGAATTGTTTAGATGAAAACACAGAAACTTCCCTGTTACCATGGTAGGTTGTTACATGAGCATGAAAAGACCTGTTTGCATTGTGTTTAAGTGAGCACTGATAAATATACAACTATTGGCTAACTATATATACAGAATATTGGCTAGAAGTCACTCCAACCCAGGCCTGATAAGTTCTTAAAACTGTGCAGAAGATACATAAAGTTTACTAAACTGGTGGTGGCAGAAGAAAAGCTTATCCAGAGTTACACACACACATATTAAAATCACTTTCTGCTACATGTTAGTTTATGAATGCTGCAAGAATGATTGGTTAAGGGGTATTATTATTGTAATTTCTAACATTTAATCAGGTCCTGAAGGCAGTTATTGTTTGGAGGGAGTAGGAGTCACATTTTCTTTTAAATGCAATCATCAATTCATCACTGTGAATGCATTCCATTTTTGATAAAAATAGGTAAGAGGCTTGCAATAACGTTGTTCAAAAACTGGGTTACTCTTATAATATGACTCTTTCAGCTATAATTTATAGCGTTGTTATATGTTTTCTAAAAATTATCTTTATCTGAAAATGGCCCATTGTCTTCTCAAATATATAGTGATTATTATTCTTCCTTCAGATAAAAATCGACTCCAAAGTATGGACCTTTTGTTTTCCCTTCATACAGTGCCTTGTACAATAAAATTGTTTTCCCTTGACAGGTATTGTGGTTAAATATATAGTAATGCAAATATTTTCCACTGTGCTCTTGTGAATGCACAGAAATTGTGGAAGAAAGTAGACTACTTATCCACAAATAATATAAAATATCTGGATAGAAATACGTACCTGCCAAGAGTCCCTAGGCTACTGTTCTAGTGGAACATGAAAGGACCTCTCCAAATTTGAAACAGAAGGGAGGCTGGGAATTTTTCAGTACTACATTAAGACAGCATTTGAATGCTTTATAAAAAAAAACCAAAAAAAACCCAAAAAAACCCCCAAAAAAAAAACCCAAAAAATGTGGTTAGATATTCAGTAATTTTCACACATTTATGATACTCCTTGACAACTATATTTTATTTTTTGCCCCTAACATTCTCAAAGTACCATGGAAACTTAGAATTCTTTGGAGTAGCTGATTTTATAACTTTTGTGTATTAGCTAGTGATCAAAATTCCCCCAAGTTACATATGTGTGTGTGTATATATGTATTTATCTCAAACACAAACTTAGGATGTTCATATTGTTCTTAAAGAGCATGAACTCTGTGCTCAAGACAAACTCTTAATGAGCAGCAATTCCGCCTTTTTGTCCTCATTTCCTGAAGAGCCTGCTCCTAATTTACCACACACAGCACTAATGATGAGAGCACTACTTTCCATCAGGATTTCCCCCAACTGTTACTGATTCATTATGTGACTCACATTTGTTGAAGAAATTATTTTCATGAAGTGCCCTATAAGGTGAAAGAATTGTGTTTAGAGGTACTTATTTACAAAAGTAAAATAAAGACTCAAAGATTATGGCTACAAGTATTGTCTAAATTGAGGCAAACTATCAGAAGCACCAGAAAATTTCATTATTTTTAATTTTTTTTTTCCTCCTCAATGAAATCCATCCTGCACATACTCTAGATTCTGCTCTGAGAGCTCAGGAAGTCACACACACTCTGAGGCATTCAGAAGATGAAGCATGTTGATTTTTTAAAAAATAATTACGTAGCATTAAGTTCTGTGGCAGACAAAAGGGTGCACTCCAACTTCTAAAATAAGGAAACAAACACGGAATACAAAAAATACAACTGCAAGCAATTCATAACCATATGAACCCCATCAGCTTGCAGAGGCAGGCTGCCCCTCATAGAAAGGTGGTAAGTTTAGTACAGACAAGCTTTGAGGAAAAGCGATACCTTTTGACAAAAAGAGTTGCAACAATTCATGCTTACTTGCATGCATAACAAAGGGCATGCTATGTTACTCAAAAGAAAAGCAAAAATACCATTACCAAAAAGGCCAGTTTAAATGGGATGAAGCTGCTTAAGACAAATCTGAAATACATGGTCACTTTACAGACATGATGGGTGCAGTGGCATAGGCAGTGCCATTTACATGCAAACTAAAGGTAATGTATATGATTAAACATTAGTGTAGTCTCTTGGGTTATGGACCCTTTTTCCACAATATCAATTGACAAGTTAAAATTTCTGTGTGACTTGGAGTTTCAGCACACAGATAGTCGTGCTAGGTATCAATTTGACAAATTTGCAGAAAAGCTGCCTCTGAAAACATAGAAATTAAAGATGTTCCTAGTCGTCTTTAACTACTTAATAATGTTTTCCCACTTTTGGTTTGTAGGTGAGTCAGAAGGGAGTCATGTCAATGCCCCTCTGCACACCTGCCTCTTCTCGGGCCCCACCAACCAGGATACTGCTTTTAGGAGCACAAGATGGGGGATCTCATCCTTTGGCTACCTCAGTGAAACTTCTTACCTGCAGGTTAGAGGGGTAGCCAGTTGTTGTGACTGCTGTGCCACTGCAGGTGGGTTTTGAATGAACATAGGCATTTGATATTATTTCTGCACTATCTCTCTGAAATATTGAGTATTAGTGAACAGTACCGTGACAACACCATAATGAATCAATTTATATATTTGCTATTTTAACAACATTTGCCAGTTTAGCCTTTACCACAACTACTAATTTGTTGTGTGTGCTTCACTATGCATGACCATCTACAAATGAAGTATAGCATTGCAAATATTCTTTAGGACAGAGTTTCTTGGTAAAATTTGAGGCAAGACCTGTGGCAGAAATAATATCAAATGTAGTTAGAAAATGAGAAGAATCCATTATGGTTTTAGGCAAAACTTTGGCCATATTTTGAATTCTGCTCATTTTTAAATATGGGAGCTTTTTAAGAACAAGTTCTAACACAATAAGAAGTTTAACCTGGCCTGGAAAAGCCCCAGCAAGAATCTCTGTTGGAATGAGACTTGGGAAACCCATTGCTTCTTCTGCTATTCCCATTTAGGATTTCATTTTCCTCTTTTGGTTAGTCAGAAATCATCTGATTTTCAGAACTTCTGGTAATGTTACACAGCTAAAAGCACAGAGCAGGTGTACATTTATAGTCTATAAAGAAACTGAACTGATACTATGAAATGCAGTGCAAATACTTTTGAAGCCAAAGGTGGTTTTTGATCCTATCTGTATAGTAAAAACTGACATGGCAAAATTATTTACCTCTACCACATCCTGGAGTTATGACATCAAAGAGGAAGGGAGCTGCTCAGGTATTTTAATTGTGTCAGTGAACCACTTGGATTTTCTTCTGTTTAACTCTGAATTTCCTGTGTCAAAAATGATTGGTTTGGAAATGCTGCTGTTTTAATTTCAAGTTACATTGGTCTTACTTTCTCCCTAATGTTTTTCTTTGGGGATGATGGTGTGAAATTCATAGCAGCCAGAAGGCAGGGGAATCTAGCAAATTTTCATACATAATCATTAATAATGTATGTCTCTACATTCTTAAGGGATCATATTTCCATAGGCAGTTGCAACTAATTCAAAGCAACAGTACAGTGAAAAAAAACCCCAATGAAACCCACAACAGACCCCCTATCCTCAGGGCTCTTGTCCAAATAGATACAACCATTACAGGTTAGAACTTGTGTGTTTTATAGCAGATGATAATTCAGAATTGACAAGCAAGTGAGAACAAATATTATCGACTACAGATGAGAAGGTCTTGTCAGTTGTCAAATAAACCTATCCTGAGATACTGTTTTCAGTGTATGTTTGGCTCAGGTCTTGTGTCCTGGTGAACAGAAAGGATCTTCTATTCAGCATTGTGTCAACTATACAGGACCCTTGTAATCAGGGAAAACAAAATAACAGCAACTTTCACAAAAAAGATGCAATGGAAGGAAATTAATGGATCTATCTTTAATGTTGATGGCACAGGGAGACTTGTTAATAAATTCTGTGGTAATTGAATGGGCTCCAGTATGTTTTTCATGTGTGCGGTTGCATCACGGTTGCTGCCTAGTTGCAGATAAAGGTCCACCAAATGCATGGGAATAATTTCACTGGAGGGAAAATTTTACTCAGTTTAGTTGGGAACTCATGTAAAGAAGGATTTTGTCCTTCCTTTGCCATTGGAGATTGATTTATAAGCGAGTGTAAAATAGTGAAAAACAGGCATAAAAACAGACTAATATATCTTTTGATATGATGTATATTAACAGTAGAATCCCTATTGCTGAAATTAGTAGCCTTATTTTAGAAGTTTCATGTTGCAATCTGCCATTTTTTTGACACATTATAAATACAATTATAAATACTAAATAAACACAATTATAAATACTATATAAACACAATTATAAATACTAAACACTTCAGCTATAGCTATCTGATAGAAAATACAGAAAATACATGGATGATATAACTTCACTGCATTTTAAAACTTTCTATTCAGTAATATTACTATTAAGTAATATTTCTTGAATCTGGAAAGGTTTAAAGGCTTTTTTTTCCCCATTTGTGTGTGCAGTGTATCCTGCTGACAGGGTGCAATCCTGTTGCCTTTGAAACACACATCACCCCAAGTGGCAGAGTTCACTTCCCAAGGTTTTCAAACTTGTCCAAAGTACTTTTAGCAGAGTCTCTTTGATGCTTTCACCTCCTGAGTGTGCTGTCCTAACAGCATCTGACAAATCCTGCAGGGGCTCACACTGACAAACAGCATTAGGCCTGACCAGCACTTCATGTTTTGGAATGTGCAGCCAGTATGGAGCAGTGGGAGAAAACTAGGGGCATGTATAAAGTTCAATAACAGAAACACAAAGTTAGAGGACTCCAGTGTGGTTCCACAGAAGGATTTGGACTGGGCCCTTATGTGAAGCCACCAATAGCTTATGAGCTCTCCCTTAGCTCTGCTCTGCGCTTGTTAGTGAGGACACCTTGCACCCCATGGCCAGCTGCTTTCTACAGGCTCTTGCAGCACATAAGACTGATAAAAATATTAGGGTTGTAAATACCCCGTGGAATCCAGTTGGTTAACAGACCATGACTTCCATGCATTACTTCCATGCATATGAATCTGGAGAAGTGTGGCAGTAACAATAGTACTGTAAATGCTGACGGTATTTTGTAAAACATTCATATCTTGATGTGTTTGCGTGATCCTTGCAGTATAGTAGTTATACCAGTGTATGCTATATTTCTGTACATAAAAACATAAATGCCCCTTATAAAATAAACCACAATTACTAGTTCTCTTCAGCAGAGTTCAGTCCAAATATCTTGATTTTATTCCCACAGTACCATAATGTAGGTGTTACACTTTTACCAAAGTTTCAGTATTTGCTCCCAGCTTTTTCTTTGTTAAGTTTCAAATACTACGTGAAAATGAAGAATATAAAGATAGCATTGAATGGACGAATTATTTCCAGATAGTATACTATCTTGAGAGTGTGTTGTCTAAGGACAGCATTTTGCTAAATTACATTACTGAATAATTTAAAATTTGAAACTTTTGTATAATCATATTTTGTGCCCTTTCAAGTTCCTTTGTCATCACAGCTCAAGCTGTAAAACCTTCAGAGACTTTAGAAATACAGTAAATTGTGTTTTGAAAATAAAAAATATATAAAAATCGAAGGTTTCAAGACCATTAGTATTTAGGTAGAATACTTAATACTTTGCTCTTTACTTATTTAACAACAGTAAAGAGCAAAATATGAATGCAAACAAAATCTGCAAATCGCTTTTGCATAGCAGTTCTAGAAGTGTATTTTCAATAAAATAACATATTTTAAATATGCTTTGTTGACCAGTTTTAACATGAACAAATATTGAAACATTTAATTAGATGTCATTAGATCATGCTGTATTATATAACTTTGTGCTGTAAACATGCAGTATCCTTAACAGTAACACATCACCACAGAAATAAGAAGAAATACCGCTTACCTTCCTCCCTTAGAAAATATTCCATGAAGGCAGAATAAATCTGATTATAAAATGAAAAACAAGCCTGAAGTGTATAACTCACACACATACAAACAGCAGATACAGTCGCCTCCATGCCTGCTTCTAGCCTTCTGTACATTTCTCACTTCTTCACATTCTAGTTATGTTACAAGGACTCAAACTATGCATAAAATACTATTCTGCATCATTGCTGTACCCACCAACATATTGCATAAATGGTACTTACTGTTCCAGAAGTCATGCATCATCCTATAGGAAATTTACACCTTCAAAAGAGGGATTTGTTACAGCCGAGCAGATTGCGGCAAAACACAGCGCCTGGCTTGTCAGAGAAAGTTGTTACTTTCAGAGATCAGCACGTATTCATTCACAGAGCACAGTAGCTTTACATTTATGTATGTGCATGCATACCTACACACACACACACACAAACACACACACACACACACACACACACAGAAGGAGTCACAGCCTGTCTCTCACGACCACATGCTAATTGCTGAATGGGGAGAAAATCTTGTTAGTATTACACGCAATCATTTCCCTTGACCATGGCTTTTGCATACATTTTTCATGTCGTACAACCAAGACCGGTGATGCCACAAAGCATTTCTAACTCAGACAGGAGTAATTATTCACATAAGGCACCAAACTCTTTTTGGCTTCCCCAGTGAGAGTGCTACAACTGCAGCAGTAGTGCAGGGTCCCTGTGCTGGCACTCACTTGCTGCAGTCTTTGTGCATGATTATACATTATAAACTAATTAGTAACACAAAGACATCTGATACCCAAGAACTAAAGAAAATCATAGAGAATCAATCAGATCCTACAGCAGGCATGTAGATTGGCTGTAAAAACATTTAACAGCGGGTAGATTTTTTTCCTGTGCTGTCAAAGTTAAAGGTACCAAAAGGAAGCACACACTAAGGCATTTTTGTTCCACTATGATATTGATCCAATGCCAGACGTGGTGAAACACAATGGGCACACAGTCAGCCTTGGTAAATTAGGTAGATTAGAGATCATTTGATGGTATTCTATTGTTGCTATTGTAATCACAGTAATTTTCACTGGTAATGGTGCTTCGTGATGAAGTGCAGTTCTCACAGGATAATTGTGAAAGGTATCGAAAGATTCAGGGTGTAGCATCTGGTTTTAAAAGCTCTTCAGATTCAAATTGGCATTTTACTTTATCTTGAAAATTTATTAGAGATTCAGATCATGCCGGTTTAAATGGAAAGGTGAAAGCAGGGTAATTTCAATCTATGAATTATTCAGATTCAGACTGGTGAAATTGCCATCCATGAACTGATTCTCTGACAGTCTCTTTTGCAGAGCCTCCATTACGCTTGTCATTTTTATTTCTTTATCTACAATCTCTCCCTCAGTTACTGAGCTCGTCCCTTAGGGCTGTGCTTCACAAAACAAGTATTTAAAATTGGCAATAACCTAAATGTGTTGCTGTCTCGAATCGCAGTCTCCACAGGCTGTCTTTTCCAAATCATTAAAAGCCACATTCACAATGGTGTTTGTTAGGCTCTTCGATTAAAAAAAAAAAAAAAAAAAAAAAAAAAAAAGCCAGCAAAGAGAAGAGATCAGGGTGTCATATCGAAGAAGAGCTATGTTCCTGTAACAGTCCAGCAAAGATAGTGGTGCATTGTGCTTGTTCCTTTGTTGTCAGTGTAACCCATTCTAGTTGCATAGCATCACGCAGAAAGAAACAACTGTTAAAGCAGGCTGACTTCGTGCCCCGGTTTCCAGCAGGAGCAGATAAGGACTGCATTACAGACAGACAGACTAATCCACACAAATGTACAGGCAGAGACCAACCGCAATTAACAGCTTCTTACAGGCAAGAAAAACAGAAGTAGCAGTAGTAGTAGCTGCAGTTGTAGTATTTGTAGTATTAGAAGAAGAAGCGACTGGATACCCGAAAGGGTTTCATTCTCTCAGGCTCCAACTGATACAGATTGCAATCCCAGAGACTCTCCACTTGATGGCTGGTTGTGTCATTGCTAGTCGACTGCTGCCCTGTATCCAGAAGGACTGGGACTGATTTAGGTCAGAGAGTCTGGTTTCTTGTTTGAGCTTTGCCCTAACTGATGTAAGAAATTGCAGCAATCTGTATTACCGATCTATCTGACCCTGGGATGCTGGCACAGCTTCGGCCGTGGAGTACCTGCAAAAGGCCCCAGTCGGACAGATAGTGACAAGTACCATCTCCTTTGTCCTATTGCTGCAGGTACATCACTGTAGCATAAAGAAAAAAAACTCTCTTAGTACGCAAAGTGGGAAATCAGGCGTTCTTCCTCAGAGGCAATTTGGGTACAGAGCTCCGAGCAATCCCTGCTCAGCTGAAAATGCTGCCAGGCGGAAGCCAACACATCCAAGCTGTGTCTGTTCCTACGCTAACACCAGGAATATTCCCCTCGTATGAAAAAGATAAGAATAAAAAAAAATCTATGCTGCTTTGTGCCTGGTTCTATGCGTCTGCTTTGCCGCACTGCGACTAGAAAACTGCAGCAGTAAGAGCTCTGGCAGTTGCGATAATGTAGAAAGCAGCAGCTCTGTGACACAGCAGTCAGCTGACTCGCAGTGTTATCATTCAATGTCCTCTATAGAATAAGGCCAGTTTCTAAGGTAGCACCAGGAGGATGACCTTGCATACAGAAACTGGGCGCGAAGGAGTGGCAAGACTTGTGTACACCTACAAGTGATTTTATGGTGATGCATCATCGGGACCGTGTCGGTCTTTAATGGTCTCTTTTACATCTCTTCTTTCCTCCTTGGCCAAACAGAACTTGTCATCTGTTGAGCAGTATTTCTTCCATCATGAAACCATCAATATGATCATGTACAGACAATGACAACTATTATCATTAATAACGGTGTTTGGGTAAACTGTTTTAAAAACATTGCTTTTTTTTTTCTTGTGGTTACATTTCCACAAGAAATTGTATGTTTTTATTAACTTCCCCCTCTCTGTGACTATGGACATGCTCCAGGAGACAGAAAGTTATCAGGTGAACACCCCTGAAAGACAAATCCTAATTGGCAAGAGTATGCCCCTGATTCTAATTAAGGCATCTGACTACCTAGACTGATTTTCACAGTTCTCTGTAGCTCCCAACTAAATTCACTGGGAAGAGCTTGTTGTTCCTGCCTCTGGGAAATCAGAGGGGAGAAATTTAAACTTACAGCTGGCAAATATGGAAACTTAGTAGAGTTCTGTGCCAATAGGAGTCAAATACCCCACCACCACCAGGGGCTTTGAAAGTTCCCATGGGGAACATCAGGCAAGCTCTTCAGCATGTGTCTGCCTACTTAAGTTATTCCTAAAGTTACAGCAGGTTTGTCAGAAATTGCTATAAATCAACTTGCCAGTCACTTGCTGAAAGAATTTATATTACATCCTTGGCCAAGGACAGATCATCTTCCACTCATCTCAGTGGATGTGCTCTACGTGCTCAGGCCAGAGCTAAATTGGCTCTCACAACTACTACTGTAGGCTGTGCAATTTCAGTGAGACACTTTATAAGTTCATTTTGAAGTACACAGAAAGTCTTATCCTGGAGTTTAGCAACAGCCAAGTAAGGAGCAGTCATTATACACCAAGCTGCTATTTCCTGTGATTTCCATACTCATGCTAAATTACATAAGCATTAAAATGGACATAATAAAGAATTCTGTTAGAACACAGCATTTTGCACCAAAACCCAAACAAACTGTAATAAAGCCATAAAATTTGTAAAAGTCCTGCTGTATCTTTAAAATGCAATTCTCTTGGACAACACAAAGAGCAGAGCACCCATGCAAAGACTGTAGTCCATTGCTAGATTGCTTCAGGGGGAAAGATGTCTGATCTCATGTGCAGATGGTTAATGGATGAGTAATGTAGCCACAGTCCTGTTTCATCCTTAATAATTTTTTATTAAATGCCCTGAAGGCCACTATTCCTGCAATCAGCAAAATCAGCACAGACGTCAAGCGGGGAAATGTTTGCGCTCTGCCCCCTCCCTTTACAACCCCCAGACCTCGCTCCTCGATTACAGGCTGTGCCTCCTTAGCCCCATACTTTTGATGCTCAAGACTATCTTTTTACTTGCTCATCTGGGATCTCCTATAGAAGTATGAAGTCTAAGCAAACTCCTGGAAGCCAGGGCTGCCAGTTTTCCTGCCTTACAGGATTTGCTGAGGGACTAGTGCTGTCCTGACTGAGATAATGAAGGCTCTTTTTCTGCTAAGCTCTGCATAGCACCACATTTTGGCTTTCAGATATGCTGGATGTCTGTTCCTCCAACAGGAGCATTTCAAGCCTCAGCTCTTCCTAAGCAAAGGATGGTCTGTAGATGGCAGAATTTGTGTTTCTGCTATCATTACAGCCTTTGGAGAAGGAAGGGCAGAAGGGAGCACCTCTCTCCTCCAGCCACCAGTTCTGTGGGGCCAGCTACAGCTGTAACAATAATAAATCTGAATTTTCCACCATGTTTTTTCCCCTGTACTCCTATTGTCACTTTGGAGTTAGATAGAGGTATTTTATTCCCTCAAAGCCCTACAGGCTGAAATATGCCTTGCAGTCTTTGGTGAGGGGAGGGTGAGGAAAGCCAGCAGTGCCTGGGGGGTCAGGGATGTGTGAAATGCAGCATGGGACATACCCACTGAGAACAGTTCAGAGGCTCTTTTAAAGCCCACATCAGGGTTTGTTTCTGAGTCTGACTTTTCACTTTAGGTTTCTAGTGTTGATGGAAGACTAATGCAATTTCCTGCAATGTGTGCAGAGCTCCTTTTCTAGTCATTAACACACATATTTCCCCCCGTGAATAAGATCCTAATTTGGTGTTCTTGAAGAAGGTTCAAAGTTGAATGTTTTGATTAGTTCTTGTCTATGTATCCATGTGTTTGTACTGTGTTACACTGAATGATATTGCATATGTTTTGGGTAAAAAAATCACACTTGGACAAATTTGGGAAAAGAGATTGAAACTTTCACCTTATTTACCGCTTAAGCACTCCAGGGAAAGAACAGATTTAAGTTTTGCCTCTTTTTTCCCCTTTTTCTTTTTCACTGAAATGGAAATTGCATCCAAGCCCATAAACTGGATGCCAAGTTTCAACTGAACACAATTAGAAACAGCTTAAATATTAAACTGAACGCTGAGGGGCCAATGACATTTAAGGGATGCTCTCTCCCAAGCTCTCAACCATAGCACTTCTGACAGAATGCTGTGTTAGAGATTGATTTTTAAGGCATCACCAAATATATCCCCCATATGATCCTATATAAATTACAAATTCAGAACGTTTTGGAAGTATTTTGGATGCTGTGCTCCCCGTTGTAAACATGTGCAACACTATATACATTTGGCAGATATTATTTTAAATTCTCAGGGTATCACTGCAAATTAATAAGGCTGGTTTATGTTCTACACTTTTTTTGTATTTCTTATATTGCTTATAGTTTTTAGTTAATGCATACAATTAAATGCTATTTTTCCACCAAATAATATTTATTTCAAATTGATCTTTTCAGTTTTTTTCTTTTTTATTTGTCAGATTTAAGTAAATCTGATTGTTTTGATTTTACTGATACTATTGTGTAAGCAAGTAACAGAGAATACATTAGCCTACAGGTTTTTCATCCATTATTCATTGACATATTTTTTGTCATTACTTCCCAGTGTACAAACCTGGGGCCTTCACGCATTTTAAATGATACGCACATGCTGTATAAGATCTTCCCAATAGCTGGTTCTCTTAGGATTTCAATTAAGTACCATATTAATCACTACCCCTTCTTCTCTGTATCTTCAATAAGCTTCAGGTAAGTTGAGTATACTGGGAGAAAAGAAATTCCAAAGCTCTTACTTTTCTTTCACAAAATTTGCTAAGGAACTGACTTTTCTGGAAACCAGAAAAGTAGTCCCTAAATACACATTAAAAATGGCCTTATCAAATGGGACTCAAATTTGAGGCACAGAATTAAACTATTACAAGCTGCCTTCTGAAGACTAACAGGAGCTAATTAAAAATGTAACTCCTGTCACGGAAGTGAAAGAGAATCCTGTGTATTTCCCAATCCTGCTTCTGCAAATCCTTCCTGCTGAAACAGCTGAATCAGAACAAATTGCTTGTGTGTGAGTTACTTCAGCCATATGGTGAAAGAAAAAAAGAGCAGTGTGCCTCCTCAGCTATGTGGTAAATAGGAACTACCTCCACATGGGTTTATACATTTATAACTAATGTGGAAACTTAAATGTGAAATCAGGGAAATTAAGTGAATTTTTGGGTCCCTCTCTGGGAGTTGTGGCTTGTAACCTGTTAAAAAGATGCTATTCAAACAGGTACAGGTATATATATATATATAAATGCTAATTTCTGGCATGAATTACCTTTTCTCATTCAAGTGATTAAAATACAAACAAGACTGTGTGAAAAATAGAACAAAATGTTGATACACAAGCCCCACTAACAATAACATGGAAATTTTTTGATCCAAAGTGCAAGAGGATCACTGCACAAGGTCGGTGAATAGGATGTGACAGGAATGTCAGTAAAGGACAGGCGCAAAGGAGACATCTTGTTGTCTGTGACACATCATTGGTGTCAGTCACTAATGATTTCCTTGACATGTTGAGTATATAGCTCAGAATGTATCAACATTACTTCTTTTTTCTATCATTACTGTTGGAAGTCAGTTTAAAGTTCCCATGATAGAAACCAAGGTTTGTGCAAAGGGGTTGGTTGCATGTCTTGAGGAAGATTACAATTACATGTTTGACCTTATTTGGATAAGGTATTTGATAAATCTGGGATAATTAATCATGGAATAATTGGTGAGATTATCCATTTGAGGCCTCTGTTTTTTCAGATTTTGTTTGTGCTTCACTTGGTAGTTCTGTTTGCTGAGAAAGACTGCAGTAGTGCCAGGGATGCATGAGGAAACAATCCTGGAGAGAAATAAAAAGTGAAAAATATGGCATAAGTAGGGGGACCTCTATAAAAGGACAGAACTGAGAGAGTGCACTGAATGTATTGGCCAAATGCAGCAGTCTGCAGATAAAGCCATTAATCTGTGACAGCCCACCCAGAAACTTGAAATTCACCACAAACTCTCAGAACCTAATCCTCTAATAAAAAAAAAAAAAAAAATCACACCTATATCCAGATCCCAAAGCTGTCAGTGCTTACATAGTTGTATATTTTTTGTGTTTCATAGGTAATGATTTTATTTCAAATTCTCATGCTCTTAATAGATACATTTGTAATGCCCAGTATTACTTGCAAAATTAGAAAATAAATCAATATGTTGAGTTAAATTATAAAAATACACACAGCTAAAAATAAAAATTGAAATTAAAAATTACAAATAGAAACAAACATGCAGGGAAGTGCTAAAATGAATGCAATCAGTTCCAGATTTAAAACAGCCTCCCCCCCTTTCCACTACTGGGTGGTCACGGACTCATGGCAGTTACTGGTGGTTTTCTTTAGAGTCATTCCAGACTTCTATTTTCACTCATTTAAAAATGGGAAGAAACAGAGGTATTGACTTAATTTTCTACATGTTCTGCACTAGGTTTCAAAATTAAGGAAGCAGCCTCCTGGAATGGTTCCTAATCAGTAGAGCAGCGGGAATCTGGAGGAGGCTTATGGTATGGAGAAGCTGGGCAAAAAATCACGAGAAATTATTATCCCTCAGGAT